GCATCGCACCCCTCCAGCTACAAAATCACAAATATTGGGATGACCTGAGTCTCAGCTCCCCAAGGCCCCAGTTCCCCTCCCATCCCCCTCACGTACTACCCACCCACCCACACAGGTATCATTGCTACAGCATCCAAGAAGCCTTCCTTTTTTCACCCTCTGAGGCCACGGTGGTACCAATGGTGGGGAAGGGGAAGGAGGCTGCAGATTTGGGCAGGAGGAGATGCTGAGCTCCCTTCTGTTGAGGTGCCTGTGCGATCAAAAGGGAGCTCATTGTAGAGGCGAAAGCCCAGGGGAAGGGTCCGGGTTGGATGCAGATGTGGGAGCCATCAGCCTATGGATGAGTGGAAGTTTAGTGAAGATGGGGCCCCAGTACCCTGGGGAAAGCCACAGGTCTGGGTCCATGGAGCACGAAGGGGATGGGGAGCCAGAGGAGGCAGCTGGATCTCTGAAGGAGGGTCAGCCGAGGAGGAAGGTCCTAAAGGGCTTGCAAAGAAATTGGCTCCCGGGGGACCCCCAGCTCATGCCCTGCTTTCCTTCTCCCTCAGAGTGAGCCTTACCTGGAAACTGTGACAACCTGGAGGGTTAAGCCCACTGAAGACCTCAGCAGGTAGAGGTCTGCTGGAACCCTCGAACCTCCTTTCCGGCTTGGACAAACCCAGCTCAGCCTTCTCCTGACTGGAGAAGAATGACCAGGTTTCTAGGAAAGCCTCAAAGTGGAAACTCCTCTAGGTGGGACTTGCCCCTGCCTCTTATCCTCCAGACCTGCCCTGGGGGCTGACCATTAACTGGGTTTTATGGCCCCTCCACTGTGGGAGTGAGGTTTGGCCCCTGAGCCAGGCCTCTGGGCCCTGAGGGCTTCACAAGTAGTAATCAGCAAATGGGAGGTGAGTTGGGGGTGGAGTTCTGATCCCTGAGGAGTCCCTGCCCTTGTTGAGCCTCAAGCCCTGCTCTGAATCTGGGGTCGAGGTGCTAAGGCCATCTGGCCAGCAGAGAGGGACAGAGTCAAGCAGTTGCCTTGGAGCAGATCCAGAGAGTGTCTACCTGAAACAGCATCTTAATACCAGCAAGGTTAGCCGTTGGAATCCTTGTGGACCCCAATCTGAAGGCTGCCCTGTGACCAGACAAAGATAACAGGAAGGTGTTGGAACCACATGGGTGGGGGCTCTGGGCTGCAGGAGTGGGTGTAGGAGAAACTGGAGCCTTTGCTGAGTGCCAGCCCATCCACAAGCAGTTGCTTCCCACCCATCCTCACAGGGTGGAAACTGCAGTTCCCAGGCAGCAAGGAGGGGCTAGGATTCAGATCTGAGTCTGATTCCTAGCCTGGCTTCTTTCACAAAGAACAGAGAGCTCTGTGAGGGGCCCTCAGGGCATCAGTCTAAGGATTACAGATCCAGTGTTTCTTTGCTAACCTCACTTCCTTCCCTTGCCCTCTTAACTGCTATCTTAGCCACCTAGAAATTCTGCTTGCACTTCTTTGACCTCCAAGCCTTTGCACCTGCTGAACCCTCTCCAATGAATGCCATTCCTTACGTCGCCATTTTCTGCTTTGCAAACATTACTCCTCTGGAAGGCTTCCCTAACCTCTCTGGGCTCCCACAGGACTACAACCCACTCCGTGCTTCCTGAAGCAATGCCTCAGCTCATTGTTCTCGGAGTTGTTGGTTCTCAGGCCTGTCTGCCCCACCAGACTGTGCAAAGTACTCAATTCCCTTCCTGTCAGCCGAGACCAGCAGACTGGGTGCTCAGAAAGCATCTGTTGGCTGACAGAATGAGTGCATGGATTCCTTAACTTCCTGGGCACCTCCTTGGTGCCAGGCACTGAGCCAGGCCCAGGGGATCTGGCACAAAATGACATAGACATGTTCCTCACTCTCAGGTGTGTATGTTTTATTAGGGAAAAGCCAAACAATAACCTCAGTAGATAGATTTGTGTTGAAGGGGTCTAGAATGATGTGGTAAGAAAGTGCCTGGATGACTTCTTTTGGTGGGGTGGTCAGAAGTCATTTTAAGGGGGCAATTGTAGGTTGAAATCTAAGTGGCTACGGGGAGCCAGCCTGCAGAGGATAAAAGACCATTCCAGGAACACAGAGAGGGAATTACTGGAGTAAATGCCCCAAAGTGAAAAGTGTGAATGGAGCTCATATGTGAGGGTGTGGATGGGGAATGATTTGACGTGAGATCTAAGCGGGGGATCAGGGCAGGGTCTTCTATGCTATTGAAGAAGTTTGGTTTTTCCAACAGACATCATGGGAAAGCATTAGAGCATTGGTGAGGGGCTGTCACACAATAAGACATTTATGGTGGTTGTTTTTGTTACCGAGCAATGGGCTCGCTCTGCTCGCCAAAATCTGAGCCAATTAATCACAACGAGTTCGGGATGGAGAAAGGAAATTTTAATCCGATTAGCTGGCATAAATGGGAAGACGGCAGACTAATGTCTCAGAGAAAATCATCTTCAAGGATTACAGAATCTGAAGGCAGTTATATAAGGAAAAGGGACAGGAGGGAGGGGGTCCAGGGATGTTGGTCTCCAGGCCTGACGGGCTCCAGGCATCACATTGTTCCATTCTTCTGTCAGCTGTGATGGATACCTTGTAGGTGTGTTTCATGCCTGTGGTCAACCTGTTCCTGGAGAGAAACTCATAGAACAATGTTTTATAGAGCTAAAGGGGTGTACATACGTAAGCGAAGGCCATAAATCAGGAGAGCGTGTGAATTTTTTTAGAGTAGGTGCAGAACAGCAAGTCGTCACAGAGAGGAGGGTCTGGGGTCATTTAGTGTAATAAGATGGCCTCACTTATGCTCACTTACATTTTTACTTTATAAAAATGTCTTTATAAAAATGTCCATCAGACAGTGAAACTCATGGGTGGAAGTTTGATGACAAATAGGATATCTGCAGTTCTCAAAGTATCTCCCTACAGCACACTTATTAATTATGAAGGGGAAAAAGTAATGGAGAAACCTGGCAGACCCCATCTCAACCAAAAGATCATTTAACATCATCAGGAATGGACAAACCCCACACCATGTGCACCAAGAAGGACTGGTAATGCTTTTGAGATAGTCACCTCAAAATGCATAACCTCAATCTAATGATGAGGAAACAAAATGAGGGATATTCTGCAAAATAACTGGCCAAAGCTTTTCAAAAATGTCAAGGTCGTAAAAGAACCTCCCTCACTCATATATCCATCAGTAGGTGACTGTATTAAATGTGACATATACATAGAATGGAATATTGCTCAGCAATTAAAAAGAATGACAGAGATCTTAATAGATTAATATGGAAAGATCTCAGAAACCATGTTCTCATAACACACATGGCAAATGAAAACTGCCCTGAGATGCCCTTTTTCCCACCTGTCGGTTTAGCAGAAAATCAAAAGTGTGACGCCATCCTCTGTTGACAGGCTGTGGAGAAACAGGCACTCGTGCATTGCTGGTGGGGCCGCATTGAAGCAGCCCCTGTAACTATCACAATTAGAAATCCATATACTCCTTGACTCAGCAATCTAGCTTCTGGAATTCAAGTTTAACATTCTACTCTGTACAAGATTATTCGTTGCAGCATTATTTGTCATTTATAAAAGAGAAACAATGCAAATGTTCATCATTGGAATCCCCCCACCAATATCTGCACCCCAGCCCACATCTAGTAAGGGAAGGAAGGGGAGAGAAACTTTCTTTCCCACCAGGAGCTCAAGAACTCATCCGCCAATCTCTGCCCACCTTCCCTCCACCAATCTGCTCGTCCCCTGTGGTGTGGAAGTGATGAACTTGGCATGAGGGGGAGCCTGCTGCAGAAGTAAGAGCCCCAGACTAAGGGATCAACTTCCATATCTACTTGCTGGTGAAGGTCAAGCTGGTCACAGTTCCTGTTTGGGCTTCTCCACAGGAATGATGAAGCAACGAGGCACATCCTTCCCAACCCGCCTTCCCCAAATTATTTACAAGACACAAGACACACATGGATCTGTCTATTAGAACAGGCTGTCAGAGGAACCCCATAGGACGCATCTTGGATCAGGAATGACCAGGGCATTGTGAGGCCCCCTCATCTTCGAGAGGTGAGCTGGGCTGAGCCGAGGTGACCCAGGTTGGGTACAGGCAAGGAAGATGTCCACGTGTCAGCAGTGGGAGCAGCTCAGCCAAGGAGCTGGAGGTGCAGCATCAGGGCCAGGCTGAGCAGGAGAGGCCCAGTCCCATGGGGCGCAGCCCCGGCAGTCATGGCCTCAGCATAGAACCTCGCCACCTCCTCGTTGGGGTTGCCCTGGGCCGGGTCGAACCACATCTGGATGCAGCGGCCGCTCCCTCGGCTGTACGTGCTGACCTTGTAGGAGTGACTCCAGAG